CCTGCATTTTCCTTTAATACTTTTCCCAAAATCTCTCTTTTGCTTGGCCTCCCAAAGGTATTTTTCTCTATCTATGACTCACTTCTAAACCCCTCAGAAATAGAGACCTTTTACTATTGATTCCACTTCCTCTAATTCAATTGCTGTTCTGTTTCGCACACACATAGAAAATTCTGGGATTTAGTGGTAATACTGATTGCACCCCCTTTGCCTTTCAGTTCCGCAAACGTTTAAAAAGGAGACACAGAATGAGGTGAGGAGCAAATATCAGTTGCACCACGGGCAAAGCTAGATGGAAAAGCACAACAGGAACCTGAGGGGATATATGCCCCTTACTCCTCCCACTGAACTGAACTACATGTTGTCATTGGCAGGGTGAACAGATTACTGAAGGCCAGGGTCCTGTATGCTCAGCGTCCCTTCCCCACTTTCACAGTTTGATAAATCAATCCTTCTTCTTGGGGGACATTCAAATAATGAGGTGGAGGGAGTGACCAGAAGTGATCCCCAGTGTCCCTTTCTGGGGAATACAGGTGAAGGCCTCTCTGTACAGGAGAGATAATAGATGATCCCGCCAGTCAAATTACTTCCTACATAAAATGTCAATCAATCTGCTAAAACTTAATTGTGGGCTAGGTTAGCCCCATTGGTGATCAATTTTTGTAAGGTCAGTCCCTGCCTTAAAAATTCGCAAATCAGGTATTCCTTATTAAGACAAATGTACAATCCTGATTAAAAGAGTTTAAGCTTTTAACAATTTTTCTTTAAAGCTTCACAAATATATTATGCATTGTTACAAAAGTTAGAACAATATAAGAAAAATGTAATGTTGCACACTGAATATAATTAGTAACTCAAATTCAACTTTCAGAGTGCTGTAAGCATGATTAGGAACATTAAAACATTTTGTGGTTGAAAATATTTTTCTGAGAATATCTTGTGAAGTCTATTTTATGTCTAAATCCATTTCTTTTAAATTTCATGTTAAAAGCCCTGGCCGGTTCGCTCAGTGGTTAGAGCGTTGGCCCGCGGTCCAGAGAGACTTGGGTTCGGTTCCCGCCAAGGGCAAGTACTTCGGTTGCAGTTTGTCCCCTGCCCGGTTGGGGTTGTGCAGGAGGCAGACATTTGATGTGTCCCTTTCACGTCTATGTCTCTCTCTCTCTCTCTCTCTCTCTCTCTCTCTGCCCCCTCCCTTCCTCCCTCCCTCCCTCTCTATCTGAACAAAAATGGAAAAATGTCCTCGGGTGAGGATAAAAAAAAAAAAATTAATGTAAATAAATGAAAGTGTACGCCCACTAGATGGCAGCAAATCAAATCTTTTAACGCAGTACCTCTGATAAGGGAGAGTGGAAAGGAAGACCCTGCTGGCAGTTAAATTGTCAGGGGAAGCTAGGAATGTAAACAGAACCAGGCCTTGCAAAATGCAGTGGCAAATCAGATAAATCTTGTCACCAGATTGTGATTACAAACTATCTATATTGGTCTCCTAAAGTCAAACTCTTTTAATACCAATTCCTTTGGACTTACATGTTCTAAGATAATACCGCAGACAAACTTATCCAATAGTAACTGTCCATGGTCTTATGAGTTCTGAAAATACAGTCACTGACTGTGACAGAGACCGGCCTAAATTACAAATTCTTATCAGTGTTTGCCAAGGCCACCCGTGATTAACCCCAACCCTTTTCAGTGCCCTCCCCTAACTCTCTTCTTTGGTCTTCACTCTCTCTTGCAGTTAGACTTGTAGAGCCGTTCCTGGTGGTATCCGCTGCTGAGCTTTACTGCATCAGAGACGTGCTGTTTTCAAACTTATCAAGGTATGATTTTCATAATTGCCTATAATATTGAAATAGAGTTATTTCAGGTAATGTAAGTCGAATGTTATCAACAGTGCATCAAATAGGCAGACATACAGTCGGCCCTCGTTTATCGTGCTTAATCAGTTCCAGACTCTACCGCGATAAAGGAATTTCCTCCAAGTAGGATTCTGTATTTATGCAGAGTTGTCCCTCGCCACTTCCTGCTTCTATGGTCGCGGCTTCACTCGTGGTTTTTCAAATATAGTATAGTATCTGAAAACACCGCAAATAGAGTGAAGCCAGAAAGTCGAAGCGCTAAGTGGCGAGGGACGGCTGCACTGACAGACTCTCAGGTAAGCTCACCTGAGCCCTCTTTTCAACTAGTCTGAGCCAGTCCTAGCAAAGAACCCTGCCAAGTCATCATCATCCCCCACCCTTGGTATTTGATCACCCTTAGTATCTGATCAAGTTCCTCATCCCCACCCTTGATGTATAAATCCTTCGACTGTCTTTAGCAAGAATCCTGTTAGCAAGAATTCCCCTACTCTTGATGTCTCCTCTGAGTAATTTTCCATCCATTATTACCCTCAACCTGCCTTTTGGCTATAAATCCCCATTTACATTTGTTGTATTTGGAATTAAGTACAATTTCTCACCCTTATCACAATAATTGTTCTTTAGCATTTGAACAATAGTGACAATAATTTCTTTTTGATGATATGTTTTAACCCAGGAGATCGACCAAACTCAGACGCCGAGATGGGGTTTAATAAAAGGAGTTTATTGAGCTAAGTCCGCAGGCACCTGCAGTATGTCCCACACAGGAGTAACTGCGGCCCCGGAGAGCTAAAATGGCTCCTTTTTATAGGATTTTGTAAGGGGGGGTGCTACATGTAAGCAAGCATGTTACAGAAGCGGAATTTAGCAGTTAGTTAATTACCTCTTACTCAGTTTCCCAGACATCTCAAAGGTCAAGATGTTTTCAATAGATTATCCCTGGTGCCACCCAAGATTACTCAAGGGTTAGTTATTACCCCAGGGTTAGCGATTACTTAGGGATTAGTTAGTGAAGAATGTTCTTCATCAGTAAATGAGTAAACTGACAACCCCTTTGGTTGTCGTGAAGGCCTCTGGGAGTTTAGGTCAATGGCACTAAGTTATAACATTCCCCACTTCTTCTGGTGAATTAATCAAATCCTTGATTTATATTAGTCATGGATTAGGGGTAAGCGTTGGTAATGTTGCTGTTGGGCTAGTACCTTAAGCTTAATTGATTGGACCCGCTCCTTGACAAATGCAGTGATTCTGTTAAGGATGATAGGTCCGCAGGCTAAGGCTATGAATAAGAGGAGGAGCGGACCCACTAGAGCTGTGAGGAGGGTGGTCAGCCAGGGAGACCAATTAAACATACTCTCATACCATGAGGTAGAGGTATGTTCTTCTCTCTCTCTATCTCGTAATCACTTTTGCAGCTCTTGCATAGATTGTCTGATGATACCTGAGTGGTTAGCATAGAAACAACAGGTCTCTCCTAGGGCAGCACAGAGGCCTCCCTGCTTGAGGAAGAGCAGATCTAGACCGCTGCGATTTTGGAGGGCCACTTCGGCTAGGGCGTCAACCTGTTTTTCAAGGTATTTGACTTGGGTTTGGAGTAATTCAACATCGCGGAAAAACGTGGCTGACAGCTCACGAAGGCAAGGTCATTCTTAATGAGGGCTGTTGCCCCTAGGGCAGTGGAGCCGGCAATACCCAGGGTAGCCAGTACAGGGATCAGAATGGGAACACGTTTCTAGAGTCTAGTATGATAGTCTGAGGCTAGAAAATGGGCTGCACCTGTGGGCCCTGCATATAGGTATACCTGGGGAACTATATAGATAACAATACAAAGATCTGAATGAGTCCCAGGGCTAATGCAACAGTGGATACCTGACAAGCGTGCAAACCAAATCCCGCTAGGTGCAATCAGAGTCCATGGGGTTGAGCCTTCGGCTCAGAGAGGTGTTGGTCAGGCAGTTGTCCTTGTATGGCGAAGCTTGGAGGTCGAGGTTTCCAAGGATGAAACAGGTCACTTGTCCTTGAAGATCTCCTAGGTTGAGCTTGCCGTCTCAGGCACAGTTGGCAAGGGTTCCTTCCCCAGGTGAGTCTGAGTCACTAAAAGTTTGGTTCATGGGGGCTAGAGTACCCGTGGCATTTGCCCCAATACCAACATAGTAGGGTGGTGCTGGATCTACACAGAGCCAGCAGTCTTGAGGGGGTGTGGTGTTGGCACCTGAGGGGGTCCAAAAGCTGGAGCTGGTGCCCTATTCCGGCTCTCTAGAGACTCTGTGGGTGTTACTGGGTTGAGAATGTGGTTTGGTCTGATGGGAAGCTGTGGGGGTAGACCCCCGGCAGGGTTGGGCGGGTCCCTCCGAGAAGGAACCCAGGGAAGTCGCTGGATGGTGAATAAAGTACCAATGTCGTATCCAGCGAGATATAGTCTCAATCCCCATGTTTTTCCAGTGAGCCAGGCTGAGTTTAGAGGCTGTTTTATAGTAATAGTGGTGGGGTTCCAAGTTTGGTTCTTGCAAGTAGGGTCTATTCCATCTTGTCCCTTGTGGGTATGGGGTGTAGGGTCCCGCAGGAGGGTTATATCATCATCAATGCCGCCCCCTGATGACCATCCAAGGGCTAGGGTCTCACAACCCCAGACCTTACAATAGAATTCTCCCGGTCCACCACATGTAGCCCTCATATGCCTGGGGAATGGGTTCTCAGGACAACCATAATTCTGAGTGCTCCATAGGACATGGTTAAGGTGTCCCAGGTTACAGACGGAAGTTTTACTTGCTGAGCCAAAGTGAGTTATTGGTTGGGTTGTTTGACGGGAACCAAATTCTCCATGACAGAGGTTGTCATCGAAGAATTTTGAAGTCAGTCTTCAGGGTTACCTGGGAGGTTTGGAAGGTCTCATTGATGACTAGCCTAGAGCCATCTCTAGTCCTGGTGAGGACCCAGGTATGTTTAGTTGGAATGCTGCAGAAGGTAGGGACCCACAACAAACTCAAGAGGATGCAGTAAACTTGAGTTTTAGAGGGTCTGTGGGATCCTTGAAAAGAGCCCATTTCTTTGGGATCTGATCAGGGTGTGCTTTCTTTACCTGGGTGTGGTGAACCACGGTCTCTTATTAGACACCTTAAAGGCTGTGGGGGTTGTCAGAATTACCAAGTGGGGCCCAACCCAGGTAGGTTCAAGGGTTTCCTTGTTAAACTTCTTGATCCAAATCCAGTCACCAGGCTCAATGTCCAGTGGGGGTGGTTCTGCTTCAGTGGGTTGTTTTCTTTCCTTGGCTGAGAGGCGGGCCTCTCTTCTGATGACTTTGATGGCCTGCAAAGACTTGAGAAGCCCCCGGTTAGATAATTCGCCTATGTGGTCATAGTGAATCTTAGGGATAATAGGTGGTGGTCTCCCATAGATGATTTCATAAGGGGTAAGGTTCTTGAGATATGGGGTGCATCGGGTGCGCAACAGAGCAAATGGCAAGAGGTTTACCCAATTATCACCGGTTTCAATTCGAAGTTAGGTAAGAGTCTCCTTAAGAGTTCTATTCATTCTCTCTACCTGACCTGCGCTTTGGGGTCTATAGGCAAAATGTAATTTCCAGCCTATTCTGAGAGCTTCTGCTATTAATTTGGAAATTTTGGCTATGAAAGCCGGCCCATTGTCTGACCCCAGTACTAAGGGCAGGACAAATCTAGGAATGATCCCAGTTAGGAGATGTCTGGCAACTATGTTAGCAGTCTCATGCCTTGTGGCAAAAGCCTCAGTCCATCCTGAGTAGGTGTCAACAAAAACTAGTAAGTACTTAAATCCAAATTTGCTGGTTGAGATCTCAGTAAAATCAAGTTCCCAATGCTCACCTGGTTCATGCCCTCTGATTCAGACCCCAAGTCCATGGGGTCTGAGAGGCCCTGGATTTACCTATGCACAGGCAGAACATCGGGTAACCTCCGAAGTGGCTATAGTCTAGAGATCTGGAATATAGAAGTGTCTACTGACTAGAGAGATTAATTTTGATGTGCCTAGGTGAGTACTATAGTGGAGATCTCTAATGAGAGCAATTCCCAAGGCTTTGGGGAAAAGTAGTCTTCCATCGGGGAGCCGATGCCAGTTCCCCTTCTCTGTTGAACAATTTAACTTCTTTCCCAGGTTGAGCTCCTCTTCATTGTAGGATGGCGAGGAGGGCAATTCCCGAAGGGGAAGAGCAGGGAGTATTTCTATAGGTTTTACCTCAGTTAGGGCAATTTGTTTAGCAGTCTGGTCTGCTAGGTCATTTCCTTCTTTTGTCTGACTAGGCTTGGTTTCGTGCCCTCTGCAGTGAACAATGGCCACAGCCTTAGGTTGCCAGATGGCTGCTAAGAGATTGAGTATTTCTTCTCTATTTTTAATTTCTTTCCCAGCTGATGTGAGGAGCCCCCTTTCTTGGTATAGGGCTCCATGCACATGAGCAGTTGCAAAGGCATAGCGGCTGTCAGTGTAGATGTTGACCCTCTTGCCTTTTGCCCAGTTGAGTGCCTGTGTCAGGGAAATCAGTTCTGCTTTCTGTGCAGAAGTTCCGTGGGGCAAGGCCTGAGCCCAGATTACCTGTAAGTTGGTGACTACTGCTGCCCCGGCATACCGAGTTCCATCCTTGATGAAACTGCTCCCATCAGTATAGAGGTCATAGTCAGAGTTGGCTATTTGCTCGTCTTTGAGGTCCGGTCTGGTTCCCTCTATGGAGTCTAGTAACGAGTGGCAATCGTGGAGCAGTTCTCCTTGATTCCCGTCGGGGAGTAAGGTAGCCGGGTTGAGAGCAGTAGACTTGGAGAAGGTAACCTGTGGTGGGTTCAATAATAGTACCTGATATTGAGTGAGGCGAGCGTTGGAAATCCATCTGTCAGGAGGAGACCTGAGTAAGGCTTCAGTGGTGTGGCCTCCGATGATTTGGAGGTCCTGGCCTAAGGTCAGCTTCTGTGCCTCCTTGACAAGGAGAGCGGTTGCAGCTATTGCTCTCACGCAGGACGGCCAGCCTGCAGCAACAGGGTCAAGCTGTGGGTGGCTTTCTCGGAAGGTGAGGAGGTCCCGGCTCAGGGCTTCGTTAACAATGGTGGGAGAGTTCTTGAAGCCCTGAGGGAGTCTGGTCCAGGTAAGCTGGCCTGAGAAACCCTCTTCAGGGTCTGTCCATTCAAAGGCAAAGATGGGTTGGCTCTTCGCAGCAAGCAGCAGGGTGAAGAAGGTGTCTTTGAGGTCCAGGACTGAGTAGTAAACCTTGTCTGGAGGTAAAAGACTCAGGAGGGTATATGGGTTAGGCACAGTAGGGTGGATAGACTCAACCCTTTTGTTTACCTCCCGCAAATCCTGAACTGGCCTATAATCTTCTGTTCCTGGTTTCTTCACGGGCAACAATGGGGTGTTCCAGGGGGACTGACACGGAATTAAAATGCCTGCATCTCTCAACCTCTTAATATGTTTGGCAATCCCTTCCTTGGCCTTTTGGGGAATTGGGTATTGTCTGACTTGATTGGGAGTAGCAGTGCTGGCCAACTGCACAATGATAGGGGGCTGGTGAGAGGCTAGCCCCGGTGGGTTTGTTTTAGCCCAAACTTCACCAATCTGTATGGCTCATTTAGTCAAAACATCCTGTGAGTTACTTTCCCCAGTGGGAGGTGACATTTCCTCTTGAAGGAGATATTCCTCAGAGAGGGGTACTGTAACCATGATAGTGGAAGGTTGTTGGTTCCCTAAGCTTAGAGTTGTGCTATTGTCTTGAAAAGTTATAGTTGCTTTCAGCTTTCGCAGCAGGTCTCTGCCAAGCAGTGGGTAGGGGCAGTCGGGCATTACAAGGAAGGAGTGAGTGATAGTGCCCTTCCCGAGATCAGTGATTCTGGCTTTAGTCCATGGGTATGCTTTTGGCTTTCCTGTCGCCCCTATAATCGATGTCTTTTGGGAGGAGAGCTTTCCAGAGGCCTACTGAAGAACCGAATAGGTGGCCCCCGGGTCGACAAGGAAGTCAGTTTGTTTCCCCTCGACCGTCAGGGTTAACATGGGTTCCTGGGGGCCTAAATTGATGGAACCCTGACCCCCCTAATCTTCCTCAGTCTCTAGGAGTAAGCGTGCAGGGGTTTCTTGTGCTTTTCTTGCCATTAGCTTGGGGCAATCTTTCTTCCAGTGTCCCATAGCCTTGCAGAAGGTGCATTGATTTTTCTTAAGTTGGGGTCTATCTTTAGATGGTTCCTTATTCCCCTTATAGGGAGCTAGTGGTCTCTTGTTAGGGGTTGCCAGCAAGATTTGAGACAGTTGCCTAGTTTGCTCCTTAATGGGATCCTCCCGGTTCTGAAAAACTTTCTGAGCTATTTCAAGTAACTCACTTCTATTCTTTCCCTCAAAGCCTTCTAATTTCTGCAATTTCTTTCTGATGTCTGGGGTTGACTGTGAGACGAAGGCCATGTTGACCATCCGTCTATTCCCATCTGCATCCGGGTCTAAGGGGGTATAAGTTCTGTAGGCCTCTAATAATCTTTCTAAAAAGGCCGTGGGAGATTCGTCCTTCCCTTGCATAGTGGCTGCTACTTTTGCTAAATTGGTGGGTTTCTTAGCAGCGCCCCTTAGACCCCTGAGGAGGTTTCGGTGATAAGTGCGTAACCTCTGCATCCCCTCCCCAGTGTTTGGAACCCATTCTGGGGGTCGTTGAGGCAGTTCATCGTCTAAGCCCTCGGGGCCAGCGTCATCCCCGACCATAGCCTTAATTGCCTCAGCGCGTATCCTCTCCCTCTCCTCTGAGGTGAACAAAGTTTGTAAAATCTGTTGACAATCGTCCCAAGTGGGTTGGTGGGTCCGGAATACAGACTCCAATAAACTTATCAGAGCTTGTGGTTTCTCCGAGAAAGGGGGGTTTTGTTGTTTCCAATTATATAAATCGCTAGTTGAAAAAGGGACATAGATCATACGCGCCGGGCCCATAGTGCCGGGCGCAGCGGGCACCTCTCGTAATGGGAGCATCGGGACTGAGGTGTCTGGTTCCTGAGCCAGTTGATAAGGGGTGCTGTCCCGTGTATGTGAGGGACTCAAAAGTCTGGCATTGTCAGCCGGGCCTGGGGCTCTTGCCTGAGGCTCATCTGAGGGTGCCGTAGCCTTCCCGCCCGAGGCGTTTCCTGCATAGGGCGGGGGCGTCATTTCTTCCAGGAGCGATTCCTCAGGATCCCCTGGGAGGACCGGATATAACCGTGGTTTGGGTGCTTTCCCAGGGGATTCTGGTTGGCTCTCCTTGGTTGCCCCCGCGGTCGCTCCTTTGGGGCTGCAACCATGATGGTATGGTTCCCTACCTTAGCTTTCATTCCCTTTTGGGGCTCCTCCCTTCCGCATTTTGTTATATAGGGAGGCTTGTCTAATACTATGTCAATCCAGACATCTATATATACCCGTTGATCTGGGTGAGGGACCCTATAGACAACCGAACGCACGGCGAAGAGGAGGTTAGGGTCAAAACTCCCCTCCGAGGGCCATTCCTCCCCAAAGGTTGGCCACTCTAGTTCACATAGCGTCCTCAGGAAGCCGGGGTCTGCTGGCTTCCCATAATTGCAGGACCTTTTGAGAAAATCGGAAAAGTTAGAGAGCAGACATTCAAGGGGGGTCGGTTTCCTGGATGGTCCTTGGCCCATGGCGTCCCTCCTGAAAGTGAAACAGTTAGAGCAGAAAGAGAGGCTGAACATACAAGAACACGAAATCAGAAGACAAACAAGAACAATCACTGAGACTAGTCTCACCCTCACGGAACACACACACCTTCAAAGTGAAGCACCTAGGCTTCCAACATCAGAAGTCAGCGTCCTGACTCTGATTAGAGGCAGACAGTGTGCGGCGTCCCGCCTGTACAGCCTCGCCAAATGCTCCGGAGCCAAAGACACAAAGAAACAAATGGATCGATCCACTTACCAAGACCACGTGGCGCGAAGACCCTAAGCCGAATCTGGCCGCAGTCAGAAGATCAAATTTGTAGAGGCGAGGATGGAGGCGCCTCGCCTTGTGCCTGAGGAGGTCGACCCCTCTCAGAGGGGGACCTCGAGGTGATCTCGCTGGGGCCTCCAAATGTTGTAACCCAGGAGATCGACCAAACTCAGACGCCGAGATGGGGTTTAATAAAAGGAGTTTATTGAGCTAAGTCCGCAGGCACCTGCGGTATGTCCCACACAGGAGTAACTGCGGCCCCGGAGAGCTAAAATGGCTCCTTTTTATAGGATTTTGTAAGGGGGTTGCTACATGTAAGCAAGCATGTTACAGAAGCGGAATTTAGCAGTTAGTTAATTACCTGTTACTCAGTTTCCCAGACATCTCAAAGGTCAAGATGTTTTCAATAAATTATCCCTGGCGCCGCCCAAGATTACTCAAGGGTTAGTTATTACCCCAGGGTTAGCGATTACTTAGGGATTAGTTAGTGAAGAATGTTCTTCATCAGTAAATGAGTAAACTGACAACCTCTTTGGTTGTCGTGAAGGCCTCTGGGAGTTTAGGTCAATGGCACTGAGTTATAACAGACACGTGTGTACTTTTAAAATTTTTACTTGTTTTAAATGTTTAACATGTAATCTAACAATCATTCTGAATGGCTTTAAACCTGAATTTATTTGTAAAATGCTTTATCTCTAACAGGGATACATTTCTGAAGATATTCTTCTTTCAGCTATATATTGCTTCATTTATTGACCACCTAAATGATCTTTCAGTATCTCTAACTCCAATATACTCAATCACCTTGCACGTGGAATTGCTAAGCTTTCCTACCTAATTAGTAAATACAACTTTGCTTATTTTAACATCACACGTTATTTATTGAAGGACCTCAGCTCTCCTAAATACCTCTGGGTGCCCCTATTTCTGCAAAGATGTCAATTAGGGAGTCATGCCTGGGTATCTACATATTATTTATCTCTTATTCCACCTCCTTCCCTTTCATAGTAGTTTGTTGTCTGTACAGCTACTTCAAGAAGCTTTAAAACTCATTGTGACAGCCTTTAACTTTCTTTCTAAGTGTCTTAAACCTTATCTCTATTGTACCTTACAGCAAACATTGATTTAGGCTGTTATGCTTCTTGCAAACATTATTGCTTATTTAAATTTTACCAGTTCATTAAGGATAATCTCAAGAGTTTCCCTCTCTCTATAGCCTTTGGTGAGAACATCTGCTAATACATATTCTCCCTCAATTTATTCGACTTTTACCCTTCCATTGGTTGGGGTCTAACTTGTAGAGGGCTACACATAGTAGGTACTTTTTAATATAAAATTGTATGATTCTAAGTTGATAAATAATTATATTTTTTGAGTATCTACCATATGCTGAGACACTTTTACACTATTACTTCTAATCCTCACAATATCTTTCAAATAGTTTATTCTTATCTTCATATTACAAATGAGGATCTAAAGGTCAGAATGTGTAAAAGGCTTACCTCAGATCACGTAATAACTAAGCAGAAAAGCTAAATCCAAAGTCTATGTTTTATTCACTGTACATGATGCTCCCTTCATGCTCCCCCCATTTTGTTTTTCTTTGGGTTTTAAATTTATTTAGCACTTCATTTATCCAGTGGATAGACTTCTAATCACAACAAGTCAAAAAATAAAGTTAAATAGAAAGCCAATAATCATTGAAAAAGTAGTACTTATGGCACTCACATTTTAAATATTTCTAGAAGAAGGTTGTAGTCATTTTAGCCTAGAACCTGCAGATAGCCCTGGCCGGTTTGGCTCAGCGATTAGAGCGTTGGCCTGCTGTCTGGAGAGACCCGGGTTCGGTTCCTGCTAAGGGCGCGTACCTCGGTTGCAGTTTGTCCCCGGCCCTGGTTGGGTCGTGTGGGTGGCGACCACTCAATGTGTCCCTTTCACATTGATGTTTCTCTCTCTCTCTCTCTCTCTCTCTCTCCCTCCCACTCTATCTGAACAAAATATCGAAAAATGTCCTCGGGTGAGGATAAAAAAAAAAAAAAAAGAACCTGCAGATATTATTATTATTTGTTTTGTGTGGAATATATAATACTTGACTACATAATTAGAAGAGGCAGCATATTAGAAACTGTAGCAAAAGTAACTACTCTCAATTAGTGAGGAAGGAAGAATAATTTACCAGGGCAGGTAAGCAAATAAGGGCTGTTTATTAAAGGCACACAGTTCTATATCCCTTCATTGTTGAGGTTACCTTCACATGAAACTACATTAATTTATTCCTTTGTTTATCTGCTTTATTGACTCATTTGTTAAAGAGAGTTACATGAATTACTCTCCATAAGTTAGTAGTGAGTAGTTCTTCCTATGTACATGTTTAGCTGAAATTGATATTATGTGGAGGGTATTTAACAGGACCTCTTACACATTTATTGTTTAATTCAAGCTGGTGTCTCAATATTTTTAATGCTCTTTGAATCTGTAAAAATATAGATATTAAAACCATTTTGCATGTTTTCTAGAAGTTAACAAGTGACTATTACATAAAATTTCAATATAGGCATTAAAATATAACTACTAGCTAAAGCACTCCCCGATACATTTGATCTGTCTTTCAGGAAAATACATATTAAGATGTTCATTTCAGTATTATTAGGGCAAAAATTGAAAACAAGCCAATACCATCAATATGGAAGTGGTTAAATAAATTATAGTTAATTCATACAATGGAATTCAATACATACATTGTTTGTTCATTATATAAAGATAGCCAATTTGGATTGTTGAGTGTGATGTTAACTAAGGACCACTATTTCTTCTTAAATATTTAGACTACAATTCCTGTAGCTGGATGGCAAAACCCTGTATTATGTAATAAAAACCTGTAGTTAGACATTTCTCTATTTGAATAAATGCTAATATTTAAAAAGATACAACTAAGTCATTGAGCTTGGCTTTAAAAAACAAATTGATTATAAAAATGGAAAAAAAAACATAACTTTATGGTAAAATATGTAAGATAATAGAGCAGCAGGGCATCGGTTAAGTAATTGATGGCTAAAAGAAGTGTTATTAATTTGGTGATTTAACAAAATGTAGCCCCCAACTAAGTTATATATTTAACTTTTTAGAACTGAAAGGGACCCCTGTAGTTCATTGCCTTCTCCTTTATGGTAGCCACTGGCCCCATGTAGCTACTGAGCACTCGAAATGTACACAGTCTACGCTGAGATAAGTTGTAAGTATAAAATACACTTTAAATACCAAAGACTACATAATAATAAAAGATGTAAAATAGCTCATTGAAAATTAATAATTTTTAAAATATTGATTACATGTTGAAATGATAGAATTTTAAACATATTAGGTTAAAGAAAATATATTATCAAGTTAATTTTACTGGTTTTCTTTTATTTTTTATGGTGGGTACCATACAATTTTAAATTACACATATGCTGACATTTATTTCTACTGGACAGCTCTGCTCCATAACTTTTGTTTCTAGAGACTTAAGACATCAAAAGGTCTCATTTCTGGCTCAAACTAAAAGAAGTTAGTGAGAGATCACTTATTACTTTTTTTGACTCTCTTTTGGATTAAAAAAAAATTTGTGATCAGAACAACCACCATAAAAAAGCCATATTTACAGGGGCAGAACTTCCTCTAGGAGGATGCAGTTATGTTAATAAACAACACTACGGGAGTGGTTGCCCTAACCTTCAAGCTCACGCTCCCTCTTCCTGGGACAGTGTAACTGTCACCTGCTGCTTCCAGTAGAGATTTCCAGACTTTCTTTTTTAAGGGGCTGATTTTTTCCTCCATGTATATTTTAAACATTGTTGGATTTTAAACTATAACTGCATGACCATGCAGTTATAGTTTAAAATCCAACAATGTTTAAAATATAACTGCATGGTCATGCAGTTGTCTCCTAGGATAGAGTTACTCAAATAACCTTGGAAGCAAGACAAAGGTCAGCAAGGAACAAATCAAAATCAGAAGGAAGATCATCTCTCAATTTCCTTGGTGAAGTACTAGTGCTACCCAAGAAAGCCATGCAGCTCAGAATTTAGAAATGTGCAGATATTAATAGGGTAAAATATTATTATAGATTGAAAATCTAATGTTTAGAGCTAAAAATAGTTCTTGTAAAATCTTTGGTTCATAGAATGTTCTTTTTTCTCTTGCATAGTTTTCCCAAGGAAAACATTTCTCTGGTTTTATCTTCACCATGG